CTTCCAATTTTTCACACTTGTTTGGCATTCACATACATATATGTATATACCTGTTAAGGTTGCCATGAATTCTACAATTTCGCGAGCTCATTAAAATTTTATGAAATTTTAATTGATTCCTGGATAAAAGTGACAGTAATTTCATGCGGTTATGAAACGCGCGCGCGCCCATTGAAAACAGCACAAGCTACTTCACAAACGCATATATTACACAGTTGCACTTGTAAATAATGAGCAATAAATATTTAATGAAATCACAGGTAGTTCAATTAAGGCTATGCATTAATAAATTTGACATTAATTTTCGAGGTGTGTATCTTCATATCTTCTTGTCGACCGCTGTGGTGTAGTGGTAAGCAGTGCGCGCTTTCACACATCAGCACCTGGGTTCAAGCCCAGGTCAAAGCAACATCCCAAAAAAAAAATATAGAAAACGGTTTTTTTCTTAACAGCGGTCGTCCCTCGGCAGGCAATGGCAAACCTCCGAGTGTATTTCTGCCATGAAAAATAGCTTCTCATAAAAATACAATCGCCGTTCGGAGTCGGCGTAAAACTGTAGGTCCCTCCGCTTTGTGTGATAACATCAAGGCGCACGCCACAAGTCGGAGGAGAAGCTCGGCCAAACACTAACATATGTGTAAGCGCCAAACTATTATTATTATTATTATTATCTTCATAAATACCTACATACATATGTATGTACATATGTTTGTACTGCCTTGAGCTGCTACGTTGATAAGGATATTTTTTAGTGACGTAATTTCAGAGTTTAAAGTTTTAAATTTTTTATAAGTTTTTTTTTTTTTTTGTTTTGCAATGATTGAACTTGAAATTCAAGGATTAATTTCAACTTTTATTTAGCTGCCAAAAGTGTGTTAAGTGAGTTATGAAAGTGGTAAAAGGCTTGTTAAAGTATGTATGTATGTAGCTAAATAGTTGTTTTAGTGAGTACGAATTTGCATTCTTTCTAGGGGTTGATTGATTGATTGTTTAGCTGATGACGCAATTATTGACCATTGAATTAGAAAATGTTTTCGTTGTAGGTAAATGCTTGATGATAACCCAATAAGCGCTTTTATTTTAGCATAACTGGAGATTAAGTGAAGAACATAAACATTAATCTTAAACTCTTAAGCTGTTTCCCGAACAAGAAGAATTTAAGACGCCTTCCCTCCTAATTATGGCACGTTCGGCAACCTAAACAGAATATGTACACAGTTTTTATGGCCACATGGCTGCTAGGTTCAGAGCCGCGTAAAAGGATTGATTTAGGAGTTGAAAGGTAGAGAAAGAGGTAACATCCTTTAAACTCCTTTGGATTTAAACCACAGCCACCACGATACTCCCCGTAGGGCCGGCCAAGCCGCACAAACAGATTGGAGCAAGCTCCAAGGGCAACTGCTCATCGTGGTACCAAAATTAAGTCTCCGGTCACACCAGATGAGTTACCATACTACTGTGGAAAGGTGACCATCACCACTACCACCTTCCTAGTCGACTCGTCTTCGCATTCTAAAAACTTCCCGTGCGAAATTCATCAAGTTCGTTACTGTCAAATGTGTGGAGAGGGTACTACCGAAATCGTACCGTCCATCCATCCATTTTACCGCCATGCTGTCAAGATTCCTCACGTTCGAGTATCTTGGACATTCACAAAGCACGTGCTGGACATCTTCAAGCTCCGCTCCACACTCACACCCCTCAGATAATGAACTTCAGATTTTTGGAGAGAACCATGTTTTCGAGGACTGTTACAACTTGGACATAATTTCACTAAGGATTCGCCAAGTCAAAAAATCGGGATGGTTAAGGCCATGTAGGGGACTACTATCATCTCCTGGATATCGCAATTGACCTCTCTCTACAGCCTTTGAAAGGCACCCTAGACCCAACCTAATGGCGTTTTATTTTCTACCGAAAAATTATGCCTCCTCTTCGCTCGCTGCGCACAAATACTAAGCGGACGGCAACATTTTTTTTTTTAGAAAAGAAAACGCCTTAACTTTTAAACGTCTTAACTTCTTCAATCAGCAGAACTGCATTAATGTTATTGGAAATGTTACCATCAAAATTGAAATTAAAATCTAAGCAACCAATAACTTACTATTAATTGGTTTAAGAGAAATTCTCTAGTACATACATTTGTGAGACACTCCGGAGGTGCCACAAGAGGTGATTGATGCAATGCGTGATTATAGAAGGCAATGGGGTCAAAAAGTCAATTTGGCGAAATCTAAAATCATAATTTTAGGAAAGTCAGTGGGATCCCGTCTGGCACTCATTGCCTGTGGATATCGTAAATGCTTATACATAAGTACCTAGGAGTCTTTTTAAATTATAAGTCCAAGTGTGCAATAAACGCGACTTGGTCAAAATTTATGAATAACCCGCGAATTTGTATATCAAAGAAATTAGAAATATTCGATGCGGCTTCAAGATCGATAACGTTTTGCGGTGCACAAGTTTGGGGTATTGAAAGATACGACAAGATAGAAAAACTTTTGCGTTTTTTTCTTTTTGCAAAAAAAAATAATCAACTTTTCTCCCAGCGAACAACTCCCAAGCTACATGATTCACCTAGAAACAAAGCTGATGCTGTTATTTCTGCACACCTTTAAGGGCCCACATGCATCGCTTCATCGCTAGATGCTTAAACCTCCCGTCCTATAGAATTCCGAATGTACTTGCGAATGAAACCATTAGCCTCGGTTGTTATTGGATTAAAAAATGGAATGTCCTTTCTCATAATGTTGCCACGATCCGTTGACTGAGTTGACCTTCGAATCTCTAAACTATTTCAATGACGAGTTTTCGGCGCATATACAAGTATAATCTTTCCGCGAGATCCTTTAAGAGAGTCGACTACATTTCTTGTTCAGTTTGCCATTTCTTTGGCAAACCGTATTTAGGCCTGGCTAAGGTTGTGGGCCTTTCGGACGGCGAAGACTTTCTCGACGGCTCTTAATGAACGAGCTTTCATAACATATTCACGTTTGTGTAAATAGTGTACATATGTTATTATAATTTGCTCTACTTAATTCCGACTAGCGACATTCACCTATTTTTAACAGACTACACAAAAAGGTGAAGGTTATCAATTCGTCGGAATATTTTTTTTTTACCCACTTCATAAAAAGGAGAAGGTTATCAATTCGTCGGAATATTTTTTTTTACCCACTTCAAAAAAAGGAGAAGGTTATCAATTCGTCGGAATTTTTTCTTTGTTTTTTTTTATGTATGTTCATTATTTCATAAGGACGTCACTATTATCTATAAGCCCTCATGGTGTTACTATATACTTATTTTTTCAAATAAAGAACATATCCATCTACCTATCCAATTGTATGTATGTACATTAGGAGTGTTAATCCCGATATAATTGGATCCCGGCCTTTCTTAGGTCCCAAAAATCACGGGATTCTTGGCAAATAATCCCGGTATTCTCGGGATTTGTAAGTTGCACTGATGGCAATAATAAATTCCTTTCTTTTTTCTTGACCAGTATTGGCTATATTTCTTTTTTAATTTGATAATTAATATTTTTTTTTACAAATGTCTAGCTCATTATCCATATAAAACCGTATGATAGTAAATTTTACACATAAAAATCAATATATTCGCGAAACCATGGGCCAAATATAGTAAAATTGCTTCTTTTTTTTTGATTTTTCACCTGACGTGTGTTTAGAGAAGAAGTAGGGGCATCAAATTAAAGAGGAAATTCTCTAGAATTTAAACAGATTTAAGTTTTTGGTGCATAAGGACTAGTAGGTATTGAAAATATCCTTTTAAAATTTTATTCTTGAAATTTCGCAATATTTGCTTTTGAAAAAATTATAAGTTAAGGACTTATATAAACTCGGATAACATCCTCGAATTTCGTCCTTATAACTTTATCACCTATTATTTATATACCTATTCCTCTTCGTGGATGCAAAAAATTTTAATTTTTTTTTTCTTAATTCTAAAGAAATTTCCTCTTTCATTTAGTATACATATTTTTATTGAAATTACAAAGTGCTTTAAAATAAATCCTGACGTCAGAGAGAAAAAAACGCCACTTAAAATAAAAAAGTACGTTTCAAACCCATTTATCGATTATTTATTTTATGGTAGGAGAGCTTCTCAAAAACATAAAATCATTTTTTCGATTTAAGTTGTTGAAAAGTAATGAATATCTAAATCCCGGGACTAATCCTGTGATCCCGGCATTGTGTTAACCACATCTCCAAAATCCCGGGATCGTAAAAGGCAGAAGAATTAACACCCCTAATGTACGAAAATAATTTTTTTCGAAAAAATTTTAATAAGACGGAAAAATTTATATTTGAATACAAATTTACTTTTGCTGTGGGTTTTTATGCTTTTGTGATCACATATAGGTTTTTTTTTCGTTGTTTGCTTTAAATATTCTTCATTGTTCAGAATTCATTTTACTCAATTAAAACTATTTTTATTATTTTGAGTTATGTTTTCTTTTAACTTTTTTCTCTCTTAACCTCTTTTGCTGTTTTGTGTCAGTGTTGTCTCAACGAAGCAAACATTCTATAAAACCACACACAAATGAATCTCTGCAAGAAGCAGCATAGAATGCAGACTGCAGCTCTGAAACAGCAGCAACTCTCGAAGTCTCAAAACAGCTGAACCGGCCGTCGCGTCACGACATGCAGCGCACAGAGCAATGCACTAATGCATTAAATCGTCGGCGCGTTGTTAGACGTCAGCCAACAAAAACTAGTTTTTCAAATAAAGCAAATACGCGACGTGCTAAGAGCTACGGACTTTTAAACATTTTTGTATGCCAACCGTAAGTTCTGCTGGTTGTGATTTGCAAATGATGGCTAACTTTTTTTTTTTTGTTTGCTGTTGGAATCGTTTGCTGCTGCAGGCATGCTTCGTGCAGAGTTTCATTATTTAGTTGTGTGAAACATTATTTGGTTTTAATACTATTTCTATTTTTATTTTTATTAAAAGTTTTTTTTTTACTTAAAACAATTTACCATTTCCTGGAGTAGGTGTATGCTTGTGTGTTTTGTATCCAGTTGTTAAGGGTTGACAGATTTGGCCGCTGGAGTTTTTCTCAATAGTAATCTTATTTTTTTACTGCTTTGTTTGCGATTTTCAGCTGTTTTTTTGTTTTCTTTTGAAATTTGTAAATCTAATTGTGTAGAATTTTTTGGCCTTCCACTTTTTTTGTGTGTGTTGTGTTGATTTTCTAGGTGTAGCTGCACTTAAAACTATTAAGCTATTGTTGTTGTTGGGCTTTGGGGGTTTTAGCAACTTTTTGATTTTTATTTATTTTTTATTTACTTTTTTTGTCTGTTTTGTCGGCTTAAAATTGCTGTAGTATTGATTTGTGGTGGTTAAGCTTTTGATCGTTTATTCTGTTGCTTTAATTTGAATACATCACATTTTGTTTTTGTTTTTACTTAGTCGATTTATTTATTTTGTATTTGTCGCATACTTTTTCTTTTACTATTTCGTTTTTTATTTATTCATTTAAGTTTTTTTTTTTAAGTTTGTTTCTGTCAACATTGGAATTTCAGTCGTTTCAAGTCCGGTTTTCGTAACGATACGTCTGTTGTTGGCTCTGTGTTGTGTTGTTGTTGTTGTTGTTGTTGTTGTAGCGTTTTCTTTGTGTGTTTTTTGTTGTTGATGCATTGGTATTGGTATTGGTATTGGTTTCTTATTGAACATTCACAAAGTCCGTAAGCGCTGTGTCAGCATTTCAGTGTAACAACCAGTTTTGCTTTATTTCGTGGAATTACTTCTATTCTTGTTAGTTTTATTCGGTTTCATTTTTATTAAAAATTCTGCTCTTTTTCCAAGTTTCACTCAGTAAATTGGCACTATTGAATTTTTCAACTAATTTGAATGCCTCTACGACCGTTAAATTTAAAACAAAAAGAAAACGCACAGTTCGCGATTTTCACGATTTTTTTTTTCCCTACACTCGATGGCGCCACGGAACTTTTTCGTTAGTTCCGTCTACGAAAATTCTTCAGCATCCCTTTTTCAATCGGGGTTCTACCGTTATTACCTTCGCGACGACTACAAATCGAATATGTTTAACGAGTTGGACCCCAAAAGTACAAAAAAAAAAAAATCGTATAGCAAGTAACCTGCCCCGTAGACCCGTTGCAAGCGCGCTTCACGTACATACGTTCCAGCAGCTCAAATTACTCTACTGTACTGGCAAACGGTGGCTGACTATCTCCACGCTCACTAGCTAGCTGGCTGACTGGGCTGTTAAGCTGGCGTTTGGCATTTAATGGTGTTGGTGTTGGTGGTTGAGTTAATTTTTTTTTTTCTTTATCTTTTTCCTTAACATTTGTTTAACTGAGTATCTGAGCGCTCAAAAGTATACGTAGGCATGTGTTTGTGTCTGCCAATTCGTGCGTTTGTGTGCGTGCGAGCGTTGCCGCTTTGGTAATTTTTAACCAAAATGTATAATTTTTTTTTCATTTTTTATCAAATTTGGTAATTTGTAAATTTATTATTCAATTTGGTAACTTTTCCGATTCGGTCCTACGTGTCAGATACGCCAATACAGGTTCTGATTCTACATTAGGAAAAGGCGTAAGTAAGCGTTTCCTTTTATAGAAATACCAGATAATCCTGAAAGTTTAACAAGGCGAAAAGTTGTTCTAGCGTTACTTGGTGACTAGAATTGTGTGATCTCTAACAAACTGCTTTGATGTGGCTATTGTTATATCTACCGTGTCCTTTAAAGGAAGGTTGTGAGTGGTTGTGGTTCGTCAGCTTTGCAATTGCCATCAATATTCTGGTGTACCCTGGCAACAGGGGCGCACCCAGGAATATATTTTAGGGGGGGTTTTATATTTCTGAAGATATATCACCGGAAAATACTGAAAATTTTCTTCAGATGATACGCTCTTTAAAATATATTTATGCAAGTTTTATGTACAGTATGTAATAAATAAATAAACGTTTTAAAATTCATAAACTGCACTGTATTTACATAAGATTAACAGAACTAAAACACTTTTAACCGACTTTAAAAAAATGGGAGGTTATCAATTCGCCGGAATACGTAACTTTGGACCACGTGAACCGATTTCAATAATTATTTTTTTGTAGATAGATGGTACCTCAAGGTTCGTCCCGTAATTTGGTTTAGAGATGATTGGATCATGAAGAAATTAACGGTACCCCTAAATTTGAATATAAGAATTGAAGTCGGTTGTGTTCTTTCCTTAAAAACTACTTGTTTAATAAAAAGTTCTATAAAACCAAGATGCGCTCAACTTTCAAAAGTACCTAATAAAAAATATTGAAAAAGACTCAGTAAAAATAAATGTATTGATTCCATGAATTTTTGCACTTTTATGTTCCTTTTTTCGAGTTCTGGTTTCTGGCTTTCGATAGAGATGGTGATTTTTCACGATTTCTATTTTTTTTTAATATTTCGAATACCGAAAAAATTAACTGAACTCTCAAGAAAAACGAAAAATTCATATAAAACAACGGACTAGAAACGGAAAAGAAATTTTTTTCTACCAAAATTTCTTAAATCAGTTTGCAGCTCTCAAGAAAAAAATGCTCGTATATTCATTTCCTCATGAATATTCACAGCAAAAGCAAAGCGCTTTTTCAAGCAACAGAAATTATAATAAATATTTCTTATAATTTCCTTGAGAGCTGGATTCTTAGCTTTAAGATACAGTTTGCATTTGAGGTTATTAGCCCTTGTGTGCGCTAATGCCTGGCAACCAAATCAGTAGAATTCTATGGAAATGTCTATGTACTCGTTCAAAAAGCTACGGCATTCAGTAGGGGACTTCACTTTGTCTATGTGTGAGTTGAACGCATTTAGGGCTGCCCTCAAGCTTTAAATTGTAAGATATTTTCGGTCTCTTCTTGACAAATGTTGATTTTAAAGTGCTCCAAAGTTCACGGTTTATTCGCATAAATATGGCTCTCCGAGTAGCTTCATAAAAATGTCCAATGCCACCAATACGGATCATCTCAGTGGCTAAATGATGAATGGAGATTTATGTAGATATATCCAAATGCAAAATATAACATTATGAGCCATAAGACTGTACCATGTTTTTAAAACGACGCGCAATCGGCAAATTTGTATCTTCGGCCAGATATATGTATGTATGCACAGTTCTGCACATAAAATAAGTTTGGTAGATTTTTCTTGAATTTGGTAACTTTTTCTGGTGATTTTGGTAAAAAAAAAAGAGAAAAAATAATGTGGCAACACTGTTTGCGGCTTCGCGGACAGCTGTTACTTAAGTGTTGTAAAGAAATGGCCATAGCAGCGCGCTCAGCTTACAGTTCGAATAGCGATAATGTGGCACCGGTGCGCGTGGGGCACAGTGTTTGCGAAACGGCGAAAATTAGGAAACAAATTCTTTTAGGAAACGTAAAAAAAATTGTTGTTCTCTTCAGCGCATGGACTTTGAGAAATTGAATAGTGGTAGATTTTACAAATTACCAAAAATGTAGAAGTTGGTAATTTTTTTAAAGAAGCATTAATAGATAGTTTCTACTCGTATAGGACCAATCAAGACGAATTCATATAAGTTGGTATTACCAGAGAAGCTGGATTTTTGCCACAGAGGGCCTATACATAAATTTGTCACGAATCACGGAATCGTCGGACGACTGAAACTCAATTCGAATCGAATGAAATGCAATGACAGCTGTTTTCTCTACAATATAATTTAAACTGTAAAAGCGAACTCACTACCAAATGCCGTAATCTCATAAAGATATTTCGAATCGAATTTGATTCCATCAGTGATGCCGTTATTCGGGCCCCATATTAATTTAAGCGCAGGCTCAAACAATTACTCTACCCTAAAATTATTTTTTCTTTATATAGATTTGAAATGCTTGAAGCTTGCGACCCATCAGTTTGGCTGTCTCCCATACAAACGTATTGCAAACGAAAAATATTTACATAAAGAACAGCAATTTCACTTCAAAATTGGTTAAGGTCAGAGTTAACTTTTCATTTTTATTTAAGGTGTGTTCGATGAAAAAGTATGTATGTACATATGTTCATTTAAATCTCGTTACCTTCTTTCCGGAAAATATTGGTATATTTGTTGGTGAAATTGTTGGCAGATCTACCAACAAAGTGGTGAAGTCCGTGCACACACAATTTTTTTTTTTTATATCTTTGCCACAGTTTGGATGAGGTCTGTCGGGGACCTCGCTTGGCGCAAACGTAAATGGTTGTTCGAAAGTCCATTTGGACGATGGAGAGACTACTCTAGCTGGCCCAGCAAATGTGCTCGAGGATTTTAGCCAGAGTGTCAAGTATAGTGATTGCTGATTCGGAAGTTTACCCGTTTCTTAGCAGAAGAATATGTCTCTATATTACTAAAAAGTATTTTTTTTTGTTGTTACTCCCTCCCAAAACTCTTTTATGGCCTCGGCTATAAAAAAATATATATTAAAAGAGCTTTATAAAATCAGATTTTTAAACAAATTTTCGATTTATGAAGCGTTCTCTACTTTTTTCTTTACTTTATCTTATCAGTTTACTTAAACTGCAATTTTTAAACAGGTGACAACACTCTAATTATTATTTTTCCTATATTTTAAGTTAGACCTTTAGGAATGCATCCGTGAACACTGCATTCGATTCCATGCATTATTTTTCGAGTGATGCGCGTACAAACTAAAACAGACAAACAGTCAAAAATTCTAAAAATTGTTGATTTGGCTTCTGTTGCTCTAACAAACAACAAACAACAGGAGCCAAATCAACAATTTTTAAAATATTATGTATAGATTATAATTGTGGGAAAATTTATCCTAAACCGAGAATTATCACTACTTTTGATCGCAGCTTATGTGGCACCGCGACACTGTGCAGCGCTCTCTACACTTCTCATATTTTTCTTATTTGCTTAATTATTGTTGCAGTTCATACCTACGCTCATTTGTAACTCACTAATCTACTGCGTTTTATATGGATGCATGTATGTATGTATGTATACAAAATATGTCTGGATGTGTGCTCACTTACGCATTGATAGCATTTCTGCTCGTGTGCGTGTTTATCTATGTATGTTTTGCTTCTTGATTTTTGCAGTTATCCACACACATGTATGATCTATTTGTATGGCTGAAGACCAGTGTTGCCAGAAAAATTTTGTTAAAAATCTTCAAAGTGATAATAAAACTTTAAATACCATAAAAAGGTTATTCAAACTGAAAAGAAAATTGGTTGCTCCGGAAATATATTTATTGAAGATTTTATAGAAAAAAAGTTACATTTTTTTATTAAAATTTTATTTGTTTTACAAAACCATAACACATTTTATTAAAAAAAAAAACCTTTTCTTGAATAATTCTTTGTATAAAGATTGCCACTTAAGGTGGTGGTTTACAGCTTATTAACAATTTTTGTTTTGTTCAAATTTATTTTAGAAACAACTCAATCCGGATCTGTGCATTTATCCGCGCTATCAGATGATGATGATGATGTTTCTATAAAGTTAGTTATAGAAAATTTAATTTTTTAATTTAAACTTAGAAACCAAAATTGCTTACCTTTTTATTTTAACAAATATCGCTTCTTAATTTTTACCTTATGGAAATTCATAACGCTGAGTTTGAGCTGCACAACGACGAGTTTGAGCGCGAATTTTTTCAGCCAAAATCAAGTCAAAAACATATTCATAAAAATCAATATTAATATCTACATACCTGTCCTGCAAGGTAAATCGATGACAAAAACAAAAATTTTTTCCCAACTATCCCAAAAAATAAATCTTCAAGTGCTGCCAGATACCTTCGCTGTGAAAATTTTTTGTATGGAGTTTTATTTTGTTGTAATTATGTATCTTCATGTGAAGATTTTTCTGATTATTTAAGGAAAATATCTTCATTTTGAAGATAAATCCTACTTCCGGCAACACTGCTCAAGACAGCAGTTCTCATTCTTTTCAAGCACAATAGGTATAACACATCTGTCAACGTTCACAAACAATAGAAAATTACAGGTAACTAAGGCATGCCAGAGAGTGAGTACGAGCGCTGAAGAGAATAAGAATGTGAGTGAAATCTTTGATTGCTTACATTAGTGGGCAATATCTTACAAATTTTGGCTATAACTCAATGAAGTCATTGTTGATTTGGTTCAAATTTGTAAGTAGAATAGTGGAAAGAAAAATAGAATAAATAAGATTTTCCGAAATAAATAAAATTTACTAAATATGTTCATAT